CTTCTAATTTTTCTTATTAGCTTTTATTAAGTCGATGCAAATTTCTACAGATGGATACAAACCGAACAATTCCATTTTTTCTCAATCGATTTTACAAGTGTCAAAAAAGTAGAGCTTTTCTCAGCTTGGAAAACAATATTTCAGCCAGATGCACGTAATATATAAAAAGATCTCCACAAAAGGCAAGCTTGATTAAAGGAATAACGTGCGCATTACAACTGCTGAAAGCTTTCAGAAATATTCTTTGCTGAAAACTCAAGTTGACATCTAATATCTGCTTGTTGTGGAACAATTATACTTGAACTTCAATAATTGTTCAATATCTCGACTTATGCAATTCGTTCTACTGTGAATTCGTCACCCGATAGTTCGCAAAGTTTAAATAAAAATAATCTAATTAAGATTTCGTAACGACGACAACCATAAAATTTATATGAATCTTGTTTAGGTGAACGATTAAATTAATTAAGACGTTCCAATTTAGCTGTAGCTCGCGTTTATTCAGGGTTTCCTCTATAATAAAATTAATACAAATTGCACATAGGAAGACAGACGTTTTCTTTTATTGCAGTCGTTAAGTTAATTTTACAACCACTTAGAATAAGTCACAAACCAACAATCCGTTCTTAATCCTTGCAACTCGTGGAGAACACTTCCTTTTCTTATCCCTTTTCCGGTAAAAGCCACATTTACTACAAGATAGGGTGAGCGCTCAACCAACTATTTGCTTAATTCCTCCACTCTCAATATTGAATTACTTGGGTTCATTATTACACCCACCTGATAAGTTCGTTTGATTTATAGTCGTATGGAGTCAAAAAAGTTACGATGTCGCTTGAATAGCAATCAAAACTTGGAACTGACATGTAATACAATCCTTAATGCGATGGGCACGTGCCTAGGTTTGTAAAAAGAGTTATTGTAGAGTGATAAATTCAACTTTTGCAATAAATGTAATTTTAACAAAGCCGCAAACAATACGATAAATGCGTCGGTGTACCGCAGAAAGGTCAAATCGGTTTTAAGCAACTTCTTGGATTTACTTTTTAACTTGATTTTGGGGAGAAATTTACCCTCGGCACGGCAGATCCAAGGGTTAACTTTAAGTTTGCAAACTGAGTTTTTTTCAATAATTATTTTATTGATTAGCTTACTACAATAAATGTAAACGCAAAAATATCTTTTTAAGAATAATGGGAAATGCAGTTTTTGAATAAAATAGAAACAGGTCTATTGTGAATAATAGGAATGATTTAGCTTGGCGCTATTGATAATTGTAACTAAAAACTGCTTCTCCAATTATCAGTTTATCAAGCAGATAATTAGCAATGTTTTGTGTATTTTAAAAACTACACTTGACAAGTAAATTAAATAGAGGGGTGAAAATATCGACTAGTTTTTCTTGTGTGTAGTAGCACTGCTCTAAATTTGAATTAGAGTGCTCACGCTTTGTAATATTATATCATTATTGATTTTCATGTTTTGGAAATGTTGGAGGCAACTTATCGACTCGGAAATTAGATACTCGGCTTGGTGTAGTTTGGTCAGGTCTAGAAATCCATTTTTAGTGGTAATTAGTTGAAAGCAACATTATGGCAAAATTAACACTAGACTGGCTTTATCAATTGGCAAATAAATTAAGTTTAGTGTTCCGTCGTCGCTTTGTGAAAGTTGGGTCTTTGTGAGTTGGGGATGGGTTGCAGAGGGCGTTTCCTATTAATAATTACGCCATTGTCGATTTTTAACAAAAGTCTTGCGCTGTGTAGTGAATATTTGTCGGGCTTTCCGAGATTGAAAATCAAAGATTGAAATCTCTCGCTTTTATATCTGCCCAACTGATAATTAAAAATATAAATGGAAGTTAGAGAAATTGACGGAAGCTATATATATTGGAGCCAAACTTTTGTCAATTTAATTTAAATTTTTAATGTTCAAGTGAACATACTTCATAATTAACCGTCACGTCTTTCTTCACTTTGGAAAATTAGTTTTTAATGAGTTACGTGATGAAACGGCAGCTGGGCGTTTTGCACTGACACTTGCCTAAAGTAGAGGCCACCAACCTGAAAATTAAAAAAATCAAACCAACACTCTCTAAATCATAACTCTTGAACCTGAATTTCTCAAATTAGTTTACGCTACAGTCCAAGTAAAATGTTTTCGTAACAATTTTGAGTTTTCCTTTGTTTCGGTCAATTTCCTCGGAATTAAAATCCATAGTAATCTCTTTGTGTCGTGTAATTGAAATCGGGCTCTTTAATACACAAAAACGATTGATCTTTCTAAATAAAGGTCCCAGTCTTTCAATTCATGTTTAACTTTGCTTCAAGTCGAGTGCAAAGTCGTTCTTTTATCCACCTATTCAATAAATTAAACGCAAATTTTATTATTTCTCCGAGATTTATTCCATCACAAAGCTATTGACAAAATATGGTCAGCCCATGTTTATATTTTTACACCCAAGTGCGACGAATTGACTTTTTAATAGAACAGGGGTGTTGAAAGCAAACTTTCCACTTCGATATTGTGAGCGGGGTGGACTGAACAAAAGGCCAATATTTCCTCATAATACAAGCAATTCACGCATTGTGCGTTTCCTCGGTCAGTGAAATTCGACGGAATTCCGGTGGGAACAAACACTTATAAAACTATTAGTCAAATTGTTCACGTTTGAAGGTTGGTATGCCTGACTTGTTACTACATTCCTCAAGTTGCCTGCTTCGGCTTTGCGTCATTAGCGAGCGTGAAGGCCAGTTTGACCCATTTTCGATGTAATTGCTACATGATAGCAAAAACAATAAAGGGTTTTGCTTCGATTGGAAGCAATTCGAATTTCGCTTTTGTCAAAGGTTCCGATTAAAGTTTTCATTCTTCTCATTTAATCTAAAATGCTTTACGTAAATATTAAAATATAATAACGTTTTAAAAATGTTACTGTAGCTTGAAATAAGTTTTAATAAACAATGAACCTTCATCATACACAAGTTTCTGACTTTCTGTAATATGTAATATTGAATAAAATAAGAACATATTTTGTATACAATCTTCTACAACTTTTCTACAACTTTTTGAAGACATTATTAAAGAAAATTTGAAGATAATTTGTTTACATCAACTAATAAATCTTTTTAGAAAAAGTTTTCGAGAAGCTATATATCTGTAAAAACATTTTTAGATAGATAAGCAATAAAAATTAATGTCATCGTTTTTAATTTATCACACAAAAATCATTGTTACCATGTGCTAAGCCATCTTATTTGTTTGTCACTTGTAAACGTCAATTTTCATGTCATTGTGACATCTTTACTTGATATTATACAGGGTATTTCAGGAGTGATAATGAGCCTGACCAAATATGAACTGCAGCCAGCAATACATTTGCATAGATTTCATAGATTTTGATTATGAATTTTAAAATTAATAAAACATAGTTATCGCGTGACGGATACAAAGAAATTGACAAGACAGGAAACACAGTTTATTGTCTATCTACCATTAGAAAACACTTTCAAGCCTTTTTGAAGCTTTTCTATATAAGAAACATTGTCTTTACAAAGGTTCAAATTTTGCTAATGTCAGTTGTGACATGGTTGTGACAAATAAAATTATCGAAGCAAAGCTATCGTGGATTCATAATTCGGTTTTTGAAACAATGCGATATGTAAAATATCCACGTTAACTTTGCAAATGTATTGTGGGTTGTATTTTCAATTCCGTCAGGCTCATTATCACTCGTATACATAATTATAAAGCTCATACGATTTTTTTAAATGTCAATTTTTTTTTCAAATGTCAGACATTCTATAATTTTAAATGTTCATAATAGTTATTTACAAGTGAGGAACAAATAAAACATTCCACGATACACGCAAGGTAATGGGTTTTACTGGCTTAAGAAGGGAACGGCCCGCTAGTCATCACCCTCCTATCGCCAAAAAAAAGCCTTTTATCATGCGTGTAACGTTAAATACTACTTATGACATTTATTACACAATTCATTAAAATCGGCAAAACTCCGTGTATGAATAAAGTTGGTGGTGTATAAATAGGGCTCAATGATGGATAATGAATGACGTTATTTCACAGAACTTTATTATACCTGACCAACGGGATTATTTACTACAAAACATAGAGGCAAAACCTAAGCTCAGCAATTTATCAGAACGATACACAAAATAAGCACGTCGGCTAAAATTTATATTGTGAAACGTCAGCTTGTGATAATTACCATGTTGTATTCGCCACAAATCTACCTTAAACATTGGCTCAATGTGACCGAACGGCGGAAGATACCAAGCATGCCGGATTTATGGCCGTATATCCTTCCTTCTGAATGATATCGCGTGCAGAATCGCATTACTCGCTATTTGCAGTGGATGTTTACACGAGCGTCAGATAGTGCGTAATCAACTGGCAGACTAATTGTGGAAGTACATTATTTATATGCGAAGGCCGCTCGAATTATACCGTTTGTTAAGAAGTCGGCCACGATGAAAACCGAAAACATTAATCTTACACTTTTAAACAGCAAACGTCATTCTATTCTTATATTATAATCAAGACAATAAAATAGAGAAAAGAAATTTTCTAGAACAATTAATTTCATATTTCACAATGTCAATTTTAAATTTACTAACGATTTAGTCTATTATTGCAACTGCAACCTTTCCAATAAATTGGAATAGATTAATTTTGGAATATTTGGAGTCACTACGTTAAATAAATCAATTAACAAAAGCCATCAATACACAATGTAAATAAATATAATGAATTATTTTGTGACAACCAGTTTTAAATAAAATGTTAACTTAATAATAAGCACCAAATGCAAAAATTAATTTTTGTTTATAATAACCATCTAGTATGTACAATTAAATTGTAAAATTTTGTTTAATTTTGTAGATCTAAGTTACCAAAAATAAAACACAATTATAAGATGTTTAAATATAATTATGTCAAAAAAGGTGGATGCGCCGGGTCCATTTCTTCAAATTACTCACCGGCTGATGATGTGCTGCGGGTATCTGAAACCAAATTATAATTATTACTGATGATAAAAATTAAAGCAAAACTAGTAAAACATGCAAAAGTTTAATCCGCATTGATCAAATATATGGTTAGCTTTCCTGAGTCATTTATTATGAAAAACTAATCAAGGCTATTGAATTATTAACTATTATTTATCCAATATAAGCAAAAATATATTTAATAATAATAAAATCGAATTCAAATATTGTTTGTTAAATTATTGTCCTGGGACTTAATTAGCATAAATACGTAATTACAAAATAAGCCACAAAATGTATGTTCCCAATAAACAATTTTTACTGTAATTACTCCAAAAGTATCCTGAACAAATCAATCAAGTCCAATTCCCGTTTCATTACGTCCTGCTAGCAAATATTTGCAACCCACTGACCTCCAATCCAAATATGCCCTAAAAACCATAGCTAACTAAGTACACGTTAAATAACCGATACTACGGAAAACTAGTTTTTAAAATAGTGTTAGTTTTGTAACTGATTTTTATGCAATTTTTGGTAGTAATTCTAATTTTTTTTTATCAGGTTATGTTATTTCACAAAAGGTAATAAAAAACTAAAATAGTGCACAAAATGCAGTTTTAAAATATTTGTGTTTAGTGATCAAAGCAAAGCAAATTTTAGTTGCAGGTATAGACAGGCAAGACATCAATGTAAATAATTATAGTTACTATATTACATATTTATTTTTTTTAATACTACTATCTTATATTGTTTCTTTGGTGCATTTATGCTCACCTCATATGTTGCCGTTTACATACGCTCTTCTCTATAAAATACGTCATGAATGACAATGTACTTTATAAGTACATATACAGAGACAATTTTTAACTCTGAACATGTCTAGACTTAGTAGCGCGTCTACAACTTAAAAGCCACACAATAAACAATTGCTTTATTTAAATAAAAATAATGGTAAAACAAACAAAAAAAAATACAGGCAGATAGGACATCAAATACTTCACAGCGAAAAATGATGAGCAAGAATTTTGTAAAAACAATAATTTAAAACAAATATTAAAACAGAAATTTTTGCTAACCTCATGTTTTAAACTTTTTTGAAAACACTTACACACTTACGATTAAAGATAGAACAAAGTTACAGAACAAAGTTGTAGAAAATTAAATGTGCTTTAAAAACGTCCGAGACACCATATCTCTATCTTTAATGGTTTAGGTTTAAATAGCTTCTTAGACCACCACCACCGGTACAAGTGAAATATTTTTGTCAATTAAGCAACTTTGACTGTTGTATGGCTAAAATCGTAGAAGATAGAAGTATGGTGTCGCAGACTTTTTCAAAGCAAATTTAATTTACAATCTACAACTTTGCCCTTTACGCAGCGTTTTCAAAAAAAAGTTAAAAACGTGGAGCGAAGTAAAAAATATGTTCTGTTCTGTTCATTATGTCATATTATGGTTTTCAACAAAATTTTTGCTATATTTTTATTTCTTACTGTGAAGTATTTAATCTTCTATCTGCCTGTAATTTTTATGTTTGTTTTGTCACCATCTTCATTTTTTTTCGTTGCTATTAAATTGTAGACACGTTACTATTCTTTAATAGCAGTAATGGATTGGTCTGTATTTTTTAAAATGAACATAAGGCTATGTTGAGCGTTAAAAAATTCTCTGTATATCATTTAACAGCCATTACCACTGCTGTCACTTTTCACGATGTTTTTATTGTATGAAAGAGTAACTTCTTGGTTCAAAATTTGTCAGTAGGGTTCAATTGTAACACAGTTTTTTCTTTTATGCAAAAATCAAATGTTTCTGACCTATTTCATCTCAAATGCGATGTTGCCAGGGTACATAAAAACCGTTTAGTTGCAGTTTTCATTCTACTAAATGTCTCTGTCACAAGCAACTGTACGTAACAGAATTTATTTATTATATTTTCACTAATACGCACTTGAACAACTATATATATAAATCACGAATTACATTGAAAAAACTTTTGAATTGCAGGCCTACGTATTGGGTTCTATTTATTTGGAGCTAATTACACAGAGTATGCTTAATAAACACGTTTGATTAATTTACAAGAAACATAACAAATGGATTTAATATTCCGATAACATGACAACAAAGTACGATACAATCGCAGCATGTCAACTGAAATTAATTTTGCTTAATGCATATCACAGCAAAAAGCGTCGAGCGGAATAGCAAGGAGGGCCGGGAGGGTGAGTAAATTAACAGCAGGGGAGTATATCGAAGGTAATCAGATATCTTTGACGACGTATATAATGTTACAGGCGTTCCAAGAAGGGGAGGAATCTCAACCACCTCGCCCGACTTTCTCAACTATGTTCGGTCTGCTTTTGTACATGATTGATTTAGGGGTTCGGGTCAATCTCGTCAAGATAAAATCGCCGATAACTTAATCGAAAAACATTTTTTCTTAAAAAAATATCATAAATAACGACCAGGGTTTTATATTATCGGGTGTAAAACGGGTCCATAACATTTGAATTCATTTAAGTTTTATTACTCACCAGTCCACATTGTGGCAAAGGTCATAAAATTTAAGTTTCCTAAATAAACTCGTTACACTTTAATGATTTCGGACCAGCAATATAAACTAAATTACTTTGTCTCCACCCGAAAAATGTCCCATCTTTTAATTAACACGGCTTTTGTTGCAAGATTTGTTCGCAAGGCAAACTTCTCTTTCACCGTGTTTCTCTTTATTTACAACGCCTAATCGCTATTTATCTACTAAAACTCAAAAAATTCATTTACGAAATGAAGCTCCACAAGATCCAACTTTGTATTAAATTTTGTCGTCCTGAGGAAAGGAAACAAATTTTTAATTAAAATTGAGATACATCTCACTTCAACCAGATTCCCAATTTAAAAAACAAACTTTTTACAGGTACGTATTAAATGAAAAAGTGCGTGTTTTTTCTTAATAATACTTTACGTTTGGAAACGTCCAAGAGTCGAGTTTTACGAGCCATTGGCCACTTTTAAGCTTGATTTGATTACCAACTGTTGAAGCATTCCATTTGCGCTGCAATAACTCGAGGAATTTGCAATTAGAGACGCAGGTTTATTAAAAAATGCTTTTGCATATGTCCAACTCGACTAATCAAATTACGTACATTTTAAGTTGACATCTCAAATGTGCTTCTAGTATATTCGTACGTCAAATGTTTTGTAAACGTAACAAAAAATTTTGTTTTGAATAATTTATTTAATTGTTTAATATAGCTGATTGTTTTGCATTCTCTTGTTGTAAAATTGTAGATTGTACACATGATAAACCAACATTAACATTTTTTGTCTTTAGCAAAAATTGTCGAAATCGTTTTTGCTATAAAGTTTTTTTCCACTTGCAAGTAGGAACGTTATTCACATCCATTCTTTATTCTAAGCGACTAGTTAGCACAAACTCGGTTTCACAAACGCAGGGTAGCGTGACCCAACGGGCCAAGTTAGATCAGGTGTTATCACATCTCCACTCTGTCTCCATATATTACCTCTCCTGTCGGGCCGCTCGGCTTGCCAACATAACTCACACGTTATTTCAGTCTAAAGTTATCATTACTGGTGCAGCCGGAGTCTTCCGACACCCCGAAATCCGAATCAGAACGACTGCGCTAGCTTAACTTTATCCATTTCTTATTTTGCTGGATTCTAAACAGTCGGAATTCGAGGAAATAAGACACTGAATCGTCGTTTTGTTTTCTTGTCGCCGGATGAAGTCTAGAGCGGTTCTCCTTTTACATGTCTCACGGATTTCGGTTCTACCGCACATTCATAATAAATAACGAAGACTTTGAGCATAGACCAAATAAGAATTTCTCACGCAAGCGTTCACCATCCTTACAAGCCGTTCTAATTGAATTATGAACACACTGAACTAGCACTTTGATTAAACATCTTGACCCAATAAGAATTCATAAATTTTATATACGAGTTGGAACCTGTGTCACTAACGATTATGGTTTTTTGAAATTCAAGTTGTTACAAAAACTTACGACCAACTTAATAATAAATGTGTACTAGTTTAGGTAAAATCCCACTAAACAACATTTTCATCGTTTATAAAAAATGCATAAAGCAAAATTGAAGAAATGTAAAATAATTGTTTAAAGGAAGTGTTAGACATACATTGAAAAAGTTTATTTTATTACCAAATTATTAAATACTCCTTTCATTCAAGGTATTTTGTAAATAGCATCAATTGCAAAACTGTTCAAATGTATGTTTTTAAAATTTTTAACAAAATTGACTATTTCGTCATCACAACTCTCCGTTTCAAGTCACAAGTTACAATCAAGAGTATTGTTATTTTCATACCTATTGAACATATATCAATAAGTCTTGCGTGATTCTAGTCGGTTCACTAATAACTTAAATTAATCCAAACGAGTTTATTGCTTACATCAAGCATAAATATTTCTCAAATTTAACAAACTAATGAACAAAAAAATTAGTATTGTTTTAAAGCCAGGTACACACTACTGTAATGTAACGTGTAACGTGTACTGTAACGCTGTTTGCCAGGTGTTCGCGATACGCGTAATGTTCGGCGAACCGTTTGCAGTGTTCCATCAAGTGTCGGTATTTGGTGCGAGCATTACATTACATGTTACATTGCAATGGTGTATACCCAGCTTAATACTCGGCTTAATATAATAACTATTAAATAATACGTTTACTGTTATTTACGTAACTATAGGTATGCTCCTCATAAAATGCACTTGTGACATAAGATAAATCACTAGTGACTTATGATAAAGCACAGATTTGTTATTATTGTGTGGACATTGTGATATTTTGGAGACTCTAAAAGTAAAAAACGGCAACGGAGATTTAGCAAGGATAGAAAACAAAAATTTAATCAAAAAACTATCAAATGTTTGAGTTTCATGACTCTAAAAGGTCTAAAAATGTTGACATTTCGTCTAATTCTTCAAGAAAATCGAACGGAAACGATAGTAAAACGGAGGTATACAGTATGTCCTCGG